GTACATAAGAATCCCTTGGGATAGGCATTAGAAATGCAGATTCAGCACCAAGCATAACTGATCTTTATGGAAGCGGCTGGAATAGTGGTCACCTGATAAGGGGTGGTGGGTGGAAGTAGGTTCGGGGAACTTCGTAAACGGGTGAATTGCAGCTCGTGTAAAATGTATCAAATACTACACTGAGGAGTTGTACACATTACTAAATATGCTATTCCACAGGTATAATTTTTAACAAAAATAAAAAGCAAAAGTGAAAATTCTTGAACCAGGCTGCAAAAGATTGTGCCTGAAGGCCTCGGCCCACTTCAGCAAGGGTGGGCTGCTGTTGGCTGAAATGAACAGGTCTGCCTGAGCGACAGAAATGCAGACAGAAATGCAGGCAGATATCTATCCTGAGCGACAGAAATGCAGGCAGAGCTGAGCCAGGCTTAAAATCATTTCGAGAGCACCAGCCGCTGCCTGTTTTTATAGCAAGCAAAATCTCTGCTGGTGCTTCTACAGTATTCTCAGAGACCGTTGTCTCCTGAAGGCATCCAAATTAGTCAAATCTTAAAGGTTTTATCCTTGTAAAGCCAGCAGAACAATAATTGGATAGAGTTATAATTCTTAGAATGGCAGAGTTACTGTGCTTGAGACCTGGCTTTTTACGATTGCCTCTCTCATCCATTTGCCTTTTAATAAACATGCTATAAAGCTGAAACCGCTCTGTCACAATCTGAGTGAACAAATCCTTCAGTACAGACTCCTGCAGAATGAAATATTTCCATATCACCTCTTACTTCTCTGTCCCCTCTTGTGGTTCACAGATTTCTGCAGTCTGCTTGATCGCTCCAGGTTTTATTTTTTGCAGACAGGAGCTTATGCTCGCTCCCAGGGGACGGAGTTGGGGCAGTGCACGTGCACACTCTCCTTGAGCCTCTCATGCGTCTTAGTAACCCCTCCACAGAATGCACTTGAGGGAAGCCACCGAATGAAACTATTACAAGTGACAAATGGAACGTTCTCCCAAGCTAGGTGGAAAAATTATCAATCATATCCCCCACCCCTGGTGTCAGGCTATACACAGTGGAAATCATGTATTATGTCAGGTCTAACTGGACAAACTCCAATTGTTAACCAACCAGAGGCCCCTAGCAATGAACACAAGGTAAAGGAGAAAAAGTGACCCCACAACTCAATTGTTCTTATTTCTCCCAGTTCTGAACTCTTCTGTTTCAGATGTTAAACAGTTGCTAATTTCTTCTAGTCATTAACATAGTTTGGCTCTGAGTTTTAAAACAAAAAGAGGACATGCTATTTGAAGTTTTATGGCTGTAGATAAAAATCTTTCTGTACACCATGAGCACACACATTTTTCAACAAACTACAACAAGATTGCACTTTTCCTTGATTCTTTTTCTTGTATAATCACATTCATCACAGGCAGTTCTCACCTGTACATGATATATCTTGCTTCTTCCTTTTTTCCCATTTCACTCCCCTCTTTTCAACTCCTTTTCCCCTCCTCATTTACAGAAATTTTGTGTTTTAGTTTTTCCTTGTCCCTTCCTTCCTTTCCCCCTCACCCTTCCTTGTTCTCCTTCCTATTTGAACATTTTCTTCCTATTCCCCAATATCTATTATACATTTTGTTCCTCCTTGTTTACATTTTCAGCTTCTCACACCAGAGAAACAATGTGTGTCTAATTTATTCCCTTTAAGAGTGTGGTCTCAAGGTGTGTCCATTTAGCTAGCAATGTCTCAAGCTAATTCCTCTTGAGAGCAGAGTAGTATTCCATTTTATTTAAAAAAGAAACCCTCATCATCTGTATCTGCTCATAGCTTGATAGGCACTTGAGATGCTTCTTAGATTTTGCCATTATAAACAGTACTGCTATAAAAATGACTGTCATATATTGCTATGGTATGATGCTTTTAATTCTTTTGCAAAGATACACAGAAGGGGAGTGGCAGGGTCAAATGGAACCTCTATTCCCAGTTTTTTCAGGACTCTCCACACTGGTCTCCACAGTGCTGGCCCCCACCTGCACCCCACCCACAGTGGAGTGGGCTTCACTTTCCCCACAACCCCATACATCCAGACTTCCGATACCTGAGAAGCAACCTGGGCTGACGTGAGTCACAGAGCAGCAGCCGGTTTCCAGCTGTGTCCCCAAGCTCAGGTTTGCCTCATTGTTTGCTTGCTCCCTGCCAACACAGAAACATCAAAGTAACAAGACATCAGGAAACAGCACTGCTCTAAAAGAAGATGCTGTCTCTAATTTGCTTATTTACTCAACAAATATTTAAAGGATGCCTGCCATATGGAAGACATTGTTCTAGCCCGTGGAAGGTGCAAGCCAGCAAGAAAGCAACATGTTCTCATCCTGTGTGAAATGTTTTATGGTCAATGTGACATTAATATTAATAGTAATGAGATGCAATACACAGCAGAATAAATATGTGGTAACGGAAAAGGGATTGTGACCAGAAAACCATTTCCTGCAGCTCTAAAAAAGTAGTTTACAAGCGGGTATGGTGGTACCCGCCTGTAATCTCTGCATTCCAGAAGGCGCAGGCAGGAGAATCCTAAGTTCAAGCCCAGCTAGCAATTTAGAGACTTAACAAGACCTGCGTCCAAATACGAACAAATACATAAAAGGGTTGGAAGTGCAGTAGTTCAGTGCAAAGGCTCTGGGTTCGAGCCCTACTACCACAAGAATTTAATTTAGTTAATTAATTAATTAATTAATTAATTGAAAATAGAGCTTATCTCCCAAATTTTAAGTCTAATGAAAGAAATTTGAGTGGACCTAAGAAATAAATTTATTGATTGTTTTTTTCCAAATTGTTGTAATATACATTCCATAAAATTTACCGTTGTAACCACTATACGGTTTGGAGATGCTAAATATAATCCTAACGCTTTACAGCCATTGCCATCACCCATCTCCACCCCCCTTTTCATCTTGTGAATCTGAAACTCTGCACTCATTACACCATAATTTATCATTTCCACCTCCCTCCCGACTATGGCAACCACTGTTCTACTGTCTGTCTCCGATTTTGACTGCTCTAAGTATCTCATGTATGTGGAATGCATTCATCTTTGTCTGACTGGTTCATTTCACCTAATCTAAAGACTTCCAAGTCCAACCACTTGTAGCGTGTGTCAAATTTTCCTTCCTTCTGAGGGCAGAACAGTGCTGCTGTGTGTCTACTCCACATTTTGCCTGTCCATCTCTCCTCCATCTGGGAACACTGGTAACTCCCACGTCTTAGCTACTGGGAAAGCTGCTGTGAATGTGGATGAATGATTACCTTGTTAAGTTCTTGGTTTTTGTTCTTTCTTGTATATATGCAGATGTGGAATTTCAGGCTCATATGATAATCTTATTTTTCATTTTTTGAGGAGCTGCCATTCTGTTTTCCACAGTGGCTGTATCATTTTAACCAACAGTGTACCAGGGTTCCAATTTCTCCATATCCTTCTCAACACTTATTTTCTGTTTGCTTTGTTTTGTTTCTTTGTTGTGTGTGTATGTTTACAGTAGCCATCCTAATGGATGTTTAGTGCTATCTCATTGTAGTCAAACTATGTGTTTATTATTAATATCATAGAAGAAAATAGAGAGGATTTGTAAAAACACATGAGGATAGATGAACATGTCTGTGGTATATAGCACTAGCAAGTTTCACTAGAGCATCTGTGGAACATTCTTAAGCTGGTTAGAGGATCCAACCAAAAATCAGAAATCTGGATTTTCTTTCATGTCACCAACAATTCCTGGCCAGAATACCTGTGACCAAGTAGAATTACAAAGGAGCTCCGGCTACCTCCCTTCCCAGACAACTTATTTTACTACCGAGGGCACAGCTTTGTCCATGCACAGGCCTATTTTGAAAGCACATTATAGGGCTGCAGTCTGAGGGTAACAATTTCAGGCTGGGAATTTGGCTCACTATTCAGTTGCTAGGGTCTGAATAGGTGGTAGGATAGCTTTTCACCCTCCAGAAATCCGCACAATAAACCAAAATTTTTCCATGTGAACACTTCTTCCTCAAAATGAATGGTATCATATCTAATCCACTTCTCTTCAAACTATCACCATCTTTCATTTATAGCATTAAATTCCTAAAATAAAGCTTCCTGGTAAGTTCAAGTCACCTCCCTTAGAACTAAGTATCTCTTTTACAATAATACTTATTGTATGACCATGCATATGAAAAATGAGTTTCAGGGCATATTAAGGTAATTAAACTGGAATAAAATTAAAAACAATTTTTAGGAAATACTATATTTTAATTGCTCAATATTAGTAGTTAGTAGCTGGTAGTCACTATAGGTACAAAATGTTTTTTGGTTTTCTTGAGATACGGTCTTGCCATGTAGTGTAGGCTGGCCTTGAACTCACTATGTGGTACAGCTTGGCCTTGGATCTGTGGCAATCCTCCCAAGTGCTGGGATTATGGGTATGTACTACCATGTCTGGCCCTAAAGTATTTTCATCATTATAGAAATTTCTATTTGAAAGCCGTGATCTAGGGAGCTAGATTTTCTTATATTTTGCTCATTTTTAGAGAGAAATTGGAATTATCTACTTAGATTGCATTTTTATGGTCAACTTGGTGATGTTTGAGCAGGGTGCCACCAAGATTCCTCTGGGATATGACTTGGGGAATTCACAGTGCTAATAAAAAGGAGAGCCAGAGTAAATCAAAAAGGGGCTCCTTAATTCCTTGTATTTAGCTCTAAAATGTAATATTTAAGAGACAGGGAGCTGGGAAAGAGGAGGCGGAGGAGGCGGAGGCAGAGCAGGAGCTAGGTGGTGCACAGCCAGCCCAGCGAGTTCTCCTGCGATCCATGCGGAGGCAAAGCAGCAGCGGCTCCTTGCTTACACCCCAGACAGCCTGAGTCCAGACGGGGCTGGTAGCTAGGGGCTGACAGCAGATCCCTCTGAGGGCTGGCCTTTGGGAAGTTGCATTCAGCAGCGGGACCAGGCAGGCCACCATGACCGAGAATGTCCGCCCCTGTGGCCAAGCCCAAGCTGGCCAAGGCCTCTAAGAAGTCCACAGACCACCCCAAGTATTTGGACATGATTGTGGCTGCCATCCAGGCCAAGAAGAACCACACTGGCTCCTCATGCCAGTTCATCCAGAAGTACGTCAAGAGCCACTACCACATGGGTGAGGACACTGACTCTCAGATCAAGTTGTCCATCAAGCACCTGATGACCATCAGGGTCCTCAAGCAAACCAAAGGGGTGCGTCCCTCCGGGTCCTTCCAGCTGGCCAAGAACGATGAGCCCAAGAGGGCAGTGGCCTTCAAGAAGACCAAGAAGGAGGTCAAGAGGGTGGCCAGGCCGAAGAAGGCAGCCAAGCCCAAGAAGGCTGCCTCCAGAGCTCCAAGCAAGAGACCTAAAGCCAACCCAGTCAAAAAGACCAAGAAGAAGCAAGCTGCCACACCCAAGAAAGTAAAAAAACCCAAGGTTGTCAAGTCCAAGCCAGTCAAGGCATCCAAGCCAGTCAAGGCATCCAAGCCCAAGAAGGCCAAACCAGTGAAGCCCAAAGCCAAATCCAGTGCCAAGAGGGCCATCAAAAAGTGACAAGGAAGCCTTTTCTCACGGACACTCCTCTCTCTCACTCTCTATAAATACTTTTTTCCTTTCTTCCTTGATTCTTGCAATCCTTTGCCCCATTTGTTCTGACTCTATAAGAGACTTTGGATTCCTCAAAAATTGTGGAATAATTGCTTTTTCCTTCCAGTTGTGCAAGAACAGTAACAACAAATCTCATCTCTGTAACGATGAGGATGTACTTACATTTTGTTTTGTTGGTTCGCTATTAATCTTATGGGATTCAGGTTTGGGTGGGGTGTGTGTTATGTTAGGGGGGTTGCTATGAGGGTAGATGGGGACGGAGAGAACAGGCTTAGTAGTTTGTTCTCCTAGAGGAGAGGGAGCCCAGGAATTAATTGTAAAGGTTTGTAGGAGTGTCTTTAAGGTTTTCTTTAAGTTGGGCACCCCTGTGAGAACTTCACAACCTTTGGTGTGTGTGTGGCAGGGAAAGCAGCAGTGGATCCGAGGCCAGGTCCTTCTCTCCTTGGTCTGTATGCCCTTCTGGCCTCCCGATTGTCTTAGAGAAGAGGAGGGGGACAAGTTGCAGTTGCTTGGAGAAACTAGCCTCTCCCAGCCAGAGAGGAACCAGCCATGGATGGGGAGGGGGTCTGTGGTGTTGGCGAAGTCTCTTAATGGGAGCGGAAACTGGGTGAAGGGTAGGGAGTCCGTCAGCCAAGTGCCTCACCGTGCCCTGATGAAGCTTGGGTTTTTCCACACAATTTGATGGATTATTATTGACTTTGGAGGAGGGTTCATTTATTTTTTCTCTGTGTTTTGTTTCTTCTCTAAAGCTGTGGCTTTGCTTGGTGTGGTGGGGCTCCAGTCCCACCACCAGCTGCTTAAAAATTTCCCTATCTCTTTTTATTTAAGGTTTTTTTTTTTTTTTGTGTGTGTGTGTGTGTTTTTTTTTTAAGTAGATGTAGAGGGCAGGGGCAGGGAGTGGATGGTAAGACAGACTGCAGTTGATTTGGAATTTGCTACATAGTTATAGAGATAGAGCTATATGCATGTCTGTGTATTTGTATATATGCATACTGAGGACTACTACTTAGGTTTTACATGGGGAGCTGGGAGAGAAACCCCGTACAGTTGTCTGTCTTTTATTTTTAATATGAAAAATCATGCACTTGCTCCACCCACTCCCACTTTTTTTAAACAAGTGTTACTTGAGCTGGAAGAAATTTACTGTCATTGTAATTTTAAAACTTTAAAATAAAATCTGGAAAAGGAAAAAGCTGTAATACTTAATATGTAGTTGTGAGCCCCATGAGAGAACCCTTGTGCGTGCCTGCTTGGTACTTCCCTGTCCTCTTTGTAGCTAAAGCAAAAGTATACACACAGGGCCACAGAAGAGAAGAGATGCAAAAACTTAGCTTCCCTGATTGGAAGGTCGCGGACCATTTCCTGAAACTTCAAAAACATTGTCAGATGCATCTCGTCTTCTGTAATAAGATTTATATGACAGCTTGGCAAGTGTGTCGAACATAAATGCTGCTGGATGGAAAGTAAAGTCACTTTGAGTTTAATGAAGTCAATAGGGCATTTAAATTCTAATAAGATAATGATGAATGCTTTTAGATCCAAACAAAACAACTGCAGAAAATCATGACAGCGGTCCACTCACCCCAAAACAAAATGGTCAAGCGTTCTAATACACTGTCCCTAAGAAACCACACATCGTCACCGCTGAGTTAGACACAGAGGCCTAAAAGTTTAGTGTGGCTTTTGTCATGGAAACTAGCCTATTTGGGACCAGTCCCTTTGTTGCCATGAACAGAACAAGCTCTCAGCCAATATTTGTTCAACTATATTAGATCTGCAACACTTATCTAAGTTGCTGAAACACAAAGAGAGTCTGTATGCATGCTTAGGGTTCCTTAGACAAATATAAGGATTGCGTGACCAGTTCTACTTTCTTTAAGTCCTATATCGTATTGCTTGCTTCCTCAAAAATAAACAGAAATCTTGCTTCTTAAAAATCTTCCTATTCATACCTTTCTTCACATAATCATGATAATTCATTACTAGGATATATTCTCTGTTACTAAAATGCATGCAAGAGTGCTTGCTTTGGCAGCACATATACTAAAATATATGCAAGAAACTTGCAAATCATTGATATTAAAAACTGAATTATAATTTATAGAGTTCCATATCAAGAAAGGAGCTTGGGTATAATCTGCTAAAATACCTTATATTGCACATGAAAGAATGAGCCATTCTTTATTTTTTTTTTATTTTTATTTTTTTTTAATTTTTTTTTTATTTATGTGTGTGTGTGTATGTGTGTGTGTGTGTGTGTCCAGCTCAGCCCACCAGGGGGCGGGGCTGGCTGGCATGTGGTGCTGGGGGATTGAACCGCGGTCCCTGATGCTTTGCTAAGTTTGTTCTAAGTAGGTGCTTTAGACCACTGAGCCATCTCACCAGCCCGAGCCATTCTTTATTAAATGAGAACCCATACACAGATAATTGCTGAGGTAGGATTAGGTTACATACTTATGATCTTTAACTATCAGTTCTTTTAGCTAATCGTATAGAAAATTTTAACAGTAATGCAATTTATCAAGCATTTACTATGATCCGGGCAATTTCCTAAAGATAAAGTGAATACATGTAGTCATTCATTTAAATTATCTCTTTAATCTTCTAACAGAGCTTCAGTTAGGTGCTGTAACACCATTTTGAAGAGAGAAAGCACAACTTAAAAGAAATCTGCAGTTCTCTAATGTCCAATGGCTGGTAAATGCTAAGGCAAAGACTGAAATGCAAACCTGACTCTTGAGCCTGAGCTGTCAACCACTGAATTGTGCTGTGCCTGGGCAGGTAGCTCTCCGGAGATGAAGGAAATGCTCATGTGTAGGGAAGCGAGAAGCCACTTCATCATCAGTGAGAGTGCTGGGCAAGAGCAGAACCGCAGGGAGCTGTTTGCCACAGGCGTTTTTATATTTCCAAAGTCAGTTGAGTGATGTTAGTAGAACAAATACAGGTGGTAATAGTTATTACTTTAATTCATACCCAGAAATAACTGTTGGCTTTATTCCGTTTTCATCAAAGCCAAAACAAATATTGCCCTCAAGTTTAGGTGATGGAAATGTCATTTCTTCTTATCTAGGAAGGATGAGAAGGAAGAAATTTTCACATAAAACATACTAACAGAACTGAGAAAATCAAATGGAATAAATAGGGCAAAAGATTCTCTATTTCCCTAAGGCCTTATAAAACCTTTCCTGAGACCAAAATATTTATTTATGTAATTTTCAGTTTGAATAAGTTGTGTAGAGTTATCAGTTTTGACCGAGTACCCCTCCATAGATTGCCATGTAGTTAATTTTTTTATAATGTGATACACACATACTATATGCTCTCTAGCTATGTAGTTACCCATCATTTCTACTCAACAATTTGATATCTGAGTCAAAAAGCAAATGAAATTGTGATGGAACCGTAAGGTATATGAGCTGGGCAAGGAACTGAACTTGTTTACTGGTGATGTGCTTTTGTCACTGATTCTTGTTTGGGATTATAGGACCAGGAGCATCAATATATTTAAATGGAAACCTATCTTGATTTCTTGCCAGATGATTTGGCATGTGACATATATCCTTTTACAAACTTCTCAATGTTTCATGTGTTAGAAATATGCATACACTTTTCAAAAATAAAAAGCCTTTCTCTTCTTAATTTCTTATATGTTTCTTTCTTATTCCAATTTTACATGCATATATCTGGTAATATTAATGACTTGTTGGAAGACAACACTATGTATTACAACAAATACTGTGAAATTCATATGCCTTTAAGTGAAATTCTGTATCACTTGTAATTTTTTTGTTTTAATTCTAACTTATACTCTCTTAAAAAATAAAAAGATTAAATCTTTAGAATGACAAAATAATAGTTTTAGATCTTAATCTGTCCTTAGCAGCAACCACTCAGAACTCTTGCTTGCTTATTCTGGCAGTTATTGCGAAGCATCCAAGTAAGTGTCCAAATAATATGCTCTTTGGTTTGTCCTTGATCTATCTATTTTGGGCATCATCTATTAACTTCTTATTATATTAGATGATTTTATGTATGAGTTTCTCTTATATTTTCTTATGTATTCCTAGAGAGCACCAACTGGGGGGCCCTCAAGTTCTCTCTTGCCTTCCCATTCTCTTTCCCTTCCTTTTAAAAAGAAAACTATCTATGTCTCACTATGCAGCTCAGACTCATGGTGATCCTCCTGTTTTCAGCCTCCCCAGCACTGGGATTATGGTGTGCACCACCACACCCAGAGTCAGTGGTTGGCTCAGCATGCCTGAGGATGGGGCTGGCACAGCATAGTGGTGTGGGGGATTGAACCCTGGTCCATGCGCTTGCTTGTTTACACAGGTGCTTAGTTTATTGAGCTATCTTGCTAGCCCCATTCCTTCTTTTTTAAAATTAAGTTTACTGGTACAATTTAGATATACATAATGATAACATTCACCAGGGGGAATTTATACTTGTCTATGATACTTCTCAGTTCCTCTCTTCTGTCCAATCTCCTCTCCCTCTTCACGCTCTCTTCTTATTTGAAAGGCTTTGTTTCTATTTTATCCCCCCTCATTTTTCTTTTCCCTTCCACCTTCCCCCCAGGTCCCCTTTCCTTTTGAACAAGTACTTCCTATTTCATACTACCTATTACACATTTTGGTTCTTATTTACATGTTCAGTTTCTCACACCAGAGGGACAATGCAGTATTTATACATAACCATTCACTTTATTTCCCTTAAGAGTATGGTCTCAAGTTTATGAGACCTAGAAGACAGGATGCAGTTGGAGATCATGAAAAGAAAAATTCTTCTCTTCCTTTAAAAATTTATTTTCTGTTCTGCGAACTATCTCTGCTTTCTCCTTGATCTTTTTATTCTTGTTTTGTTTTTCCATTTTTACTTTATTAGCACATGTTTATAGTCATCACGTTCACACTCCTTGTGCAAGTCGGTGCATGTACAGGACACAC